GGTTATACATACATAAGCAGGAGAAAATATGTATGTTTCTTTAAAATGAGGATTGAAAAGAAAATGTTCAACAGAAATTTGCATTTTTAAATCCTCTTGTCTATAAAACAAGAAAGGAGGAGTTTTTTTTTTTATATTTAAATATATATACTTATAAAACTAAATTGAATATATGATTTTTAGAAAAAAATAATAATAATAAGAATTTTTAAGAAAAATAATATTTTAAATTCTTATTTATATCTCAAAAGCAAATTTTTTTTTTACTAAATCTTTAAAAAATTTCAATCCCGAAATGAAAATAACATAGAGATTAAGTAAGAGTTGAGACTTTATCTCCTATTATTTTGACGATGAATTCTTAAGAGGAATTGAAGTTAAAATGTAGGAATTTTGAGGCTCTTTCGAGTCTCAAAATTAAAGGAAGTTTCTTTTCTTGTTTTTCGTAATTTATTACATATCATGGTTATCTTATGAAATATTACACGTTAGTGCTTGGAGAAAAGTAAAAATCTATTAGGGATCAATTATTGAAGTTGTATCCTTTAATGTTAATTAATATAAGAAACTAAGTTAGCCAAATTAAATGTAAGTGAGCTCTTAAAAAGGCTTAAGATTGCTTTGTGTAGTTTAAGTTATTTGTATTCTCCTAAGGATATCTAATTATTAAAATCAGATAAGATAATATCGGGAACAAAAAAAATTTAAAATCTAAACTAAAGATAACATCGTATAAAATTCAATCCAATTTAGTTTGAACCAGAATTTTTTAGTTTGATATCAATCCTGATGGATGGATTAATTATTTTTTTCTCAATATAAATAATACAACTAAATAATAAATAAATAATACATAAATAAAAACTATTATAAAAATAAATAATACAAAATACATAAAAATTACATAAATAAATATTGTCAATCTAATTAGAGGTTTGGTCGATTAGAGCAAAAGCTAGATTGGAGATGGTATCACATAGTATTCTACTAGTCCTTGATGGTAGTACAACAAATGAAAGTAAAAGGTGTGGGACAATGCAATGCTGCAACTAGAAAGTGATGAAGTTACGAGCGTGTACGAGAGTAAAAGAGATAGAGAGACAGAGTTGTACTATAGATGTGAGAGAGAGAGAGAGTCAGAAACTAGAGAATGAAGGTGGAGAGTAGAGATACGAGATATAGAAGCATATTGCAAAGATGGAAATGGCCTAAATAATAGTCAATAACTAAATCGACTTGTACTAAATATTTTATTTTACCATTAATGACCATATTCAATTTAGTTTTTTAGCATATACGAGGATTTGCACACTTAATCATTGTGATATTATGAGATATCATTTATTTTAGAAATCAATTAAAGGTTATTAGTTATTGTAGGGAGATTTTCAAAAATGTACTTTAGATATTTTTTCTGCAATGTTTATAGATAATATGTCGAGACAAATAATGTTTTATAAATGATATGTCAAGATAAATAAATTGAGTCTTACAAACTATTTGACATTTACTTGATAGAAAGTAATTGTTCCATGAGTTATTTTCTTTCTCTATAAAGAAAGAGCTGCATAGGAGAAGAATTTTAACTATATATTTGTAACTTTTTGTTAAGTTTGGCTTCCTAGAGTTATCTCTCACTGAAACCAAGTACATTTAGTTTGTCATTTCTCTTCCATACATATTGAATAAAAAAAATATATTTATGTGTTGTTTTTATTTTTTATTTTTTTTAATAACCATTAGACTATAAAATGATACATATTACTTAAATTTTTTTAATCATTAAACTATGATTTAATATATATTAATTAAATTGTAAATTAATATTTCTTAATAAAGTGGATTTAGTTGACATTTTTATTTTTATACAAAGACTTAATTGTTATATTTCAAAAATTAGGAGCCTAGTTATCGTTATACATAAATCCGAAAAATTTATATATAATTTACTTTAAATTTTTGAGATATGTGAATCACTCAAATGAATTGTTTAATTAAAGCTAGCTAGCTAAAGATCATGAGTTTAATCTTAAAAAATTTTCTATTATTTGCTTCTGATTTTATTTAACTAATTTTGGATATTTGAGTTGTGTTATGAATTCTTTAATATTGTCGAAATTAAATTAAAAGTGATATAATAAAAAATAGATAAAAGAATGTTGTGAGTAAATTTTATTCTTTCTACTAAGTATTTATTATTTTATGTCACGTTACACTTTATAAAATTAGATATTATTATATAAATTCTTAAATGTGATTATTGTGATATTATTTTTCTTTTCATATTTTTATTATATTATAATAATAGAATTACGAAATTACTTATATCATATAGATATTATTAAATATATTTTGTTTAAAATTTTTAATTTAATAAATAAGGAATAAGATGTCACTTAGAGTTCTTAAAAGTGATTTTGAAAAGTTAAAAAATATCAATTTTTAAATTTTTATTGTTTGTAACAAATTTATTAACTGTTCTCTTGATATTAACAAAAAAAAAAATATATTTTTTATAGTATGTATTTTTTGTAAATATATAACAGTTTAAATAGAAACTAATTATTTTAAAATCATCTAAAGTATTCTATTACTTTAAGTAGATTTTTTTTTTTTTTTTTTTAAAAAAAAAGCAACCCTAAATACTCTATGAATACTATTAATATCCAAAATACTCTTACACACCCGTTAAAAACCAGCTAGAAAGAGCTCTCAATATCCTAAGAAATTGGTTTTTAATTATTAATGTCCAAAAATCATCACATATTCCTTAAAAAGTATACGGCCATTTTTTAATAAATTCAAAAATTTTATGAATGAATTTATTTAAAAATCTATATTTAATTTAGCTAACAAAATAACTTAATCAAAAAGTAAAACAAAAATCGATTTAAAATATATTTAATTTTACTTGTAATTGGATACATGTATTTAAGAATTTTGAATGTATTACTGTACCAATTCAGCCTGTAATAACCCATGTGAAATCATTTTTTTTGTCTCTAAAATAATAATTTGTTTTGAGTAAAAAGTAAAATTTCAATTCCATGTTAAATTGCACATTTGTTCCAATAATAGCTTTAAGAGCAATTCTAAAGTTGGATTTTTCTTTTACTCAATTTTAAAGGTGAAATGTTTTTTCATAAGATAGCGTATCTCTGGAGAATTATAAATACAATTTACTAAATTTTGTGTGTGTGTATATGTATATATATCTATATATTATTAATCCAAATACAAATTATACAAACTAAGAAAAAATAAAAATCTATAATGGGGGCATATAAGATCTAGATTGGAGTGAAGAATTATATAAAATAATGAGTTGGGATGGATTGATTATTTTATTTAGAGAAAATATGTTGTTTTGTTGTAGAATTTTGAAATGAAAAATAATGGGGGGGGGCATATAAGAGTATGATACTTGGCAGGCCATTAATTGAAGCAAAAAAGCTAGTAAAGGTTAATGAAGTTTTAAACAATAGAGATTCTCCCTTAATGTGATTCCCTTGCCACTCTTATCTCCTCTATATAAACCCTTGCAAACAATCTTTTTTCTTCAAAAAATCGAAACAAGATTTGATCCAATATATGGTGTGATGATCTGATAATCTAATTTTTTCTTTCGATGAATAAATTTCTTTTATAAAGGAGATGACAGAAGAGAGTGAGCACCCATGGCGTTTTTCTTGCATGGATGTTCCATGCTCGAAGCTCTGCGTGCTCTCTCTCTCTCTGTCATCCCTTGTATCTCTCTCTCTCTCTCTCTATATGTATATATATAAATTTAATCTATCTATTTATGATCTAAATATATATTATTTTAATATTTTTTTAGTATTCTTCATATTATATATTTACTTTTGTATAATAATATTAAAGTTAAAATTAATAAACTTTATTTCTTTAATATCACCATTAGATCCTGTATCATCATGCATTTTCTCGCAAATTCGTATTTATATAATACTAAGATTTTTCTCTTTTGATTTTAAACTACCAAAATCCTTATATTATTTGTATGAAACTTCAACTCTATTAGATAAAACTTTCTTTTATTCTCAAAATGTATAGTTTTTCATTGAATCATGAATACAATACTTGTTTTCAAAGAGAGTATAACTCATTTTTGTATGCACTTCATGAAGAGTTTTTTTCTTTATTTCATCAATTGTTTTAACTTAACCTATATGGATATTAAATTCTCTATACAAACCTTTTAGAGTTGCTTCTTAAGTTAAATATTTATAATAACATAAAAGATTGTTAATATTATGAAAAATTTCTTTTCTACGTCTAAATTTAATATTATGGTATTTAGAATCTTATATATAAATGTTATTATTCTATTACAACTCTCAATTTTCTTTCATATTCTAGTCTTTTTACGAAAAAGGCTAAAACATATTGCAATAAAATTTTTAGTAAAAGAAAAAAATCTTTGCTATTAAACAACTTTTTCTAAATCTCTCACCCAATTTTTATATATAAAAAATCTCTCTCTTTGTCAAGATAAAAAAAAATGTATTCTTGAATTCACGTAAAATTTTTATTTGTATAGTTACATATTAATTTAGACAAAAAATAACCTTAATATATGCATGTTATTTATTTATAATGGATGTTCTATTACGTTAATAATAAAGAAATTTTTATGGAATATTTTTGAATATAAATATATACATCTTATCAATTAGATAAGGCATGCACATGATTATAATATTATATTTTATTAAAAACATATAAGATACATAATTCTAACTTGAATTTATAACTTTATAGATAAAGAAAAATATTTGAATGATCAAACGAAAGACTTGTTAATTTTTTTAAAAATTAAAATAATACATTTCAAATTTCATAAATTAAAGTCAATAAATTTCATCATTTTGAAGGTAAAAATTTTAAATAAATTTTACAGTAATTATATATTTTCTCTAGAGGGGCTTTCGAAGAAAACATTCCATTAGATAATGTATTTTCAACAGAAGAGACGAAAACAAGAAAGTCAACATGTTTCATCCCAAAAAAGAAAGACTCAACAAAACCAGCCTACTTTCTCAGACTGACAAGAGGTATGCTTGTAAGATTTCGTACCCTTCGAACCAATTCAAAGTCAGAACGTCTGTCTCATCTTCTTCAATATCAATTGTCAACTCCTGCTATCTTTTTCTTTTTCCAGAAAAACTCGTGCTTTCCCGTTCCAGAGTATTTTCAGTTCCCTAAGTCCAGTCTTTTCGCGAAGGAGTCTCAAACTGGCGGCCGTTGCTGGCGCTAGTGCTCCGGCTGCGATGACATCAGTGGCAGTTGCCGTAAAAGGCGTCATCGGCGACATGGAAGGAGGCAACGGAAACCGACGCGCCATCCGTTCGGCAGTGGAGAATCTTATGCCCAACGCTGACTGCTTCATTTTAGTTCACGTTATGCCCACCATCAATACAATCCCAACTCCTTGTATGTACAGATTCCTTTCGTTGTTAGTTTACATGAAAATTTTCACGTTTATATTTGAATACCTGGATTTTTGTTTTGGTTTCTGGATCATGTTTTTCATAGCGGGAGTTCGAATTCCTGTCGAAGAATTGGATGAGAAACTGGTAGCAATCTACGTGGAAGACGTGAAAAGACAATTTGAACAAGTCTTCATCCCGTTTAAGAAGCTATGTAAAACGAAACAAGTAAGTTGTTTTCTCTCTTTCTCTCTCTTTCTCTTTCTTTTTCCCTTTCCGGGTATGGATTTGTGAGATTTTCTCTAAAATATTTTAACTAATAAGAAGAAATGTTTTTTTTTTTTTTGGTAGATGAAAACGCTGGTTTTGGAAGATGATAATCCTGCAAATGCACTTATATCGTATGTATCTGAGTCGGGGATTAACAGTTTAGTGTTGGGTTCTTGCTCATCAAAGTTTGTAACGAGGTAGAGTGATGATTTTCAGTGCTCTTCTTTTGTATTATTGCGTTTCATTTTCCTTCCATTTTTTATGTGAAATTTGTGGTGTTATGATTTGGTATTAGCTGTCCATAAAGAAAAAAGGAATTCCACACAAGCCAAGTGATGTTTTCCATTCAAAATGGTTTTATTCGGATTATTTGTATATAAAACTTTTAGCTTACAAAACATATGAGTTTTATATCTCCTAGTTTTCCAGACAGAAGGAGCTTATATGAAATTTATGTCATTTTGTTGGTTCAAGGTTCATTTTCGACTGTCAGGACATGGAAAAGATAGACCAGATGATGCTGTTGATGTTTTCCAAACATATATTGGAGTAGCTTAGCTGGGTTCCTGCTTCTTGAATATCCTGGATTGAGAACGACTGACCCTGCCTATGCTTTGTCAGTCAGTGTTGTAAACAGTACTTTCTTTTGCGCATAGTCTATCATCTACAAGAGATAAACAGATTCCTTTCTGTGGAAGTTTGGAAGTAAGGGCTAAGGTCACATCTATAGGTGGATATTCCTGTGCATACTAAATTTTATCTTATTCTATAGCTTCTGGAACAGTGCACTCAATGGTTATAACCAATTTTACCAAAGCTAAAGTTAGTAAAAAATGGTCAAATTTATTAAATTTTGTATCCTAATGCCCCCTCCATGTGCAAACGGGATTGCAAATGGATGAGGTCCAACTATGGATTAGTGAATATGGATACAAAAGTCCAAAAATGGGCTACGAAATCAATAACATATACTAAGGCAAGGTTGAGATTGAACTCAAAACCTCAGACTATGTACCATGATTGATACTCTAACATGACATTCTCTCAAATTGAAGGTGGAGCTAAGGATAGCAGCTTTAGGTGGTAATCAATTCGTGAAATTACCAGGATAATGGGATTTGCTATAGATATCAATTCCCTTTTGATGAAAAGGAACAAAATGTGTACTAAGGATACCTTGGAGTTTATGTTGACATACGAAATGACCTTCTCAATCTCAATATTTTTGTTTGCTCATGAAGAAGATAGTTGTGTGCTATTTGAATATCACTACAATTATCACAACATATCATACTTTGAGGCATGACTAAGGCCCAAATCTTGAAGTAACCACTGGAGCTAGTGTAATTTAGAGACAACGTAAACAAAAGCACAATATTATACTTGAAGCTAGTGCATGTAATGACCATTCGTTTCTTGCTGTGCTAGTAAATCAGAGATTCTCAGAAAAAAACAAAGAAGTAGTGAAACAGCGATTAGTAGGATCACTAGTCCAATCAACAGCAGAGTAGCTAGATAATAAGAGAAGGAAGTGATAAGAAATGCAGACCATGAGAAAATGATCCTTGTCATATGGCAAAAGAAATGAGGTACAGCCACAAAGTGTTTACCACATACAGCAGAAATGGAGCTGCAAAATGATTATTGTGTGGAGCAGAAAAGAAGACCTAATGACTGTACTGTTTGTTTTACAGGCTTTACTAGTTTCTACTACATCCAAGTGACAGAAGTATTTGCACCCCCTATTTTTTTTTAAAAAATAATGGCTTGAAGAAATCATCCTAAAAATTTAAGTAGACACCAATTCCAAATCAAACTCTTAACTTTTGCTTATTTGGAATTGGTGATAAGTTAGGAATGTTTTTCAGCATCTTTATTTTTTATCTGCTTGTAGTTCTGCACATGTTATAGTCTTAAATATTTTTCTCTCTGTTCTCTTTCTCTTTGATTTATTTTCAAATTTACTAGTCCCTTGTGACTGACCTGTCACAACATGACTGTACTCTTGCCAGTTCACTGCTCTCTGAGTTCCAATTTACAATTTCCATAGGAAGCTAAAGGGACCAGGGGTGCCGATAGCTGTTCTGAAATGTGCCCCTGATAGTTGTGATGTCTATTATGTTGTATCCAGAGACAGAATCATCACAAGATGTGCTAAGCCTTTGTTGGTTACTGGTACGTGGAAAGCTTCTATTTTTTCAGGCCATTTGGTTCATTTTGCATCAATTCCTAATTGATTTATAATGTCTGGTATTTATAGTGTCAATATGCATAACTACATCAGAAATTTCTTGAAGGTGGTAAGTTTATTCCCACTTTAACAAGGAGGATAAAATTCCCACATGAAGGAGTTTGAGGTGGGAATGGAGGCTATTCAAACACAAATTTATTTCTAATAATGTATATTTGCCGTAACATAAAAATTAGAGTTGGTAATTAGTTAGGAATTGAATGTAAATGAGTCAAACAGGATCTTACAGTCAAATCATATGTAATGGTTGCTTTCAACATCTTCCAGAGACCATCTCCAGTTCTGAAATATTGATCCAAGAGGCTTGTAGAGCAGATCCCAGTGGCACTGATAAACACAAACTTGAGTTTTCTACTTCATATGATGAACACAAATCTTTTCTTTTTACTTTATATGATGAACCTGCAGTCGAAAGGGCCTCCGGAGACTTGTTACTATATGATCGTGGCTACTCCACTTCTGATAGAGTTTCAAACATGGCTTCCCTTTCAAATTCTAGTTTACATGAGATAAGAAATCCTCAAAACTTAGCAGTTAATAATGTAACTCCTGCTGCTAAGCGGTTGGAGTCGACAACTCCTACAATGTCTCCGCAGGTAATTGGTTGGTCTCAACAGTTGCAGTTCCCTATCCTTTTTGTACACTTCATTAGCTCTCAGGTGGTTTCTGAATATTGATCTGGTGTTCCTTTAGCAGTCAGATGTACCTACTGAAGTAGAACAGCTAAGACTAGAATTGCAAACCACTGTCACCATGTATAAACGAGCTTGTGAAGAACTTATTCGCTCCCAAAATGAGGTAAGAGGGTTATTGTTCTATGGTGCTCCATGCTTGATGGATGTTGATTAAAAATTAGGCACATGGAGATTTGAAAACCGGACCAGATAGAACTTATGGTAACATAAAAATGATAATGGATAAATAATTACTAATCTTCAGGTCCCAGTTGGAAATATATGCTTCTGTTACCACACTCTTAACAATCAAATATTCATTTATTGGTTACAGATCATGTTACTTTCTTCTGAATGCCAAGAGGTGGCAAAGAAAGTGACGGCTGCCCTTGAAAGGTAAGACAGTTTAAGGAAAAGTTGCTGCTGAAGAGAAAAGCAAAGCATTTACGAGCAATGAAAGAGGTTGAGGAAGCAAAAGTGTGCTGCTAGAGAGTATATGAAAGAAAGATAGGCGAATTGGATGCCTTAAAGAATCATAGAAAAACAGAAATTCGTTGATGAACTTTTTTTAAGTGATAGGAGGTACAGAAGATACACAAAAGAGGAAATTGGGGTTGCAACAGATTTCTTCTCTCAGAATAATATGATTGATGAAGGAGGGTGTGGGAAAGTTTATAAATGCAATCTTGATCACACTCCTGTAGCTACTAAGGTTCTACATTCTGATGCACTTGAGAAGAAAGAGGAATTCTTGACAGAGGTAAATGACCTCTATGCTGAAATCAGAGTTTTCTACCTTTCCTATAACAATCACAATCAGTAAATTAGCAAACTTTTTATGATTTTTCTCAACTTCGTCTTCAGAATTTGCATCTTAATCCTTTTAAACCATGACCTTTTGTTAATGGAGTTTGCAACAAACATCAAACTGTGAATTAATGCTTATTCTTTTTTGAAAGAGAGATTCCCTGCAACAAGGACATATGATATGCTGGATAATTCTTTGCTGGTTGAAGTGTTAGGCCAACTCTGCCATCCCCACATTGTTTTGCTTCTTGGAGCCTGTCCGGAAAGTGGCTGTCTAGTCTATGAATACTTGGAAAATGGAAGCCTGCAGGATCATATTTTTCATCGAAATGGAAAACTGTCTCTTCCTTGGTTTGTTAGGTTCCAGAAAGTTTTTGAAGTAGCCTGTGGACATGCGTTCTTACACAACTCCAACCAAAGCCTATTGTGCATGGGGACCTGAAACTGGGTAATATTTTGCTCGATAGAAATTTTACGAGCAAAATTGGGCATGTTGGCCTTGCTAAGGTCATTTACGATGCCAGTCCTGACAACATTACAGAGTACAGAGACTCGATTCTTTCTGGTACTCTCTACTACATGGATCCAGAGTATCAAAGAACTGGTACTATCCGACCAAAATCTGATCTGTATGCACTAGAGTTATAATCCTTCAGTTATTGACGTCACGACATCCAAATGTCTTATACTGACTGTTGAAATGCCATCAACAATGATTACCTTCCTGATATTCTTGACAAGTCAACTGTTGATTGGCCAGTGGCTGAATACAGAGGAATTAGCTCAGATTGCTCTGAAGTGTTCAAGACTTAGATGCAGGGATAGGCCAGATCTTAACGCTGAAGTCCTGCCAGTTCTTCGTAGACTTGCTAACGTGGAAAATGCTAGTGTAAAGGTGGGAAGAAAAAGCATACTTGCACCGAGTCACTACTTCTGTCCAATCCTCCAGGTGAAAGCTATTTCCAACTAGAGGGATATATCAATTTGATGCTTCGATCCTTAACACGCTTGCTAGTATTTTATTTCTTTTTGGCTTTCTTTTGTTAATGATGCAGGAAATCATCGATGATCCACGCATTGCTGCTGATGGTTTTACATATGAGCATAGAGCAATAAAAGCATGGCTGGAGAGACATGAAGTATCGCCAGTGACAAAAGATAAAACTCCAGCATTCATTTCTCACTCCGAACCACACACTAAGTTCTGCCATCCAGGAGTGGAGATCTCAGGTGGCATTATCAAAAGCCTTGGTTGGCGAAGATGTTTAACTTTCCGTAGAGCTTTTCAAGTTGGACACTTGAACATATCGGCACATCTTTCCCCCTTCTGACCGCATTTTCAGGAAGGACAACTGAAGTTTGTATATGGTGTAAAGTTGCAATTTTATTTTTTGGTATAAATTTGCAATTTTTGACCCACCTTTTCTAAACTTCAACTTAAGCACCTACATTAAGTGCTGGGAGGACTAACTAATCAGCTAGATTGCTGGGGTTGGATAAATTTGGCAACTGGTAGACTAGGTTGAGGACTTCTTGAAGTTACTGCAAATAACTCAAGCAAAAGCGCATGGTTGTGTGTATGTATTTATGTATATATGTATATGTCTGAATGGAGATGAGATGGAATTGATTCGGTTAAAAGTAAAGGGATGAGGAGTGTTTCTACCCAACATCATCATATTCAATTTATTGAATACAATATATTTAAAATATATCATTTCAAATTCACTTAAAATTAATATAGAATTAATTATTATATTTTTTATTTTTACCTAAATATATATTCCCAATAAATTTTATAAAAATAATTAATTTACTCCAAACATATTCTTACAATTTGTTTTATCTGATTTATTTTGTTATTCAATTTATAATTAAATTTTTATTTAGAAAAAAAAAATAGAAAGAATAACTTTAATATTAACAAAAGTTAGATGCAAAAGCTCTGTTTCTCATTATTAATGAATGAGTTTATATACAAGGAGCTTCAATTGGATTTTAATTCAAGAATACTAAATGATACTAAATGCCCTTAATTCAAGATATTAAATAATGCAAATGCTTTGGTTAGAGATTATTAAATGATATTAAATAAGGTACACATCAAAGATATTAAAAATAATATAGAATGTATAATTAGAGAATAGTTGACTTCCAATATGCCCTCTCAAGTTGGATCATAGAGGTTACAAATGTTAGCTTGCCGACAAAGAAGTAAAATTGGAGACTATCGAGAGCTTTGATGAAGATATCAATAAGTTGGAGATGAGAAGAAACATGCAATGTAGCAATTGAGTAAGATTGAATGCAGTTATAAATAAAGTGTCAGTCAATCTCTTAATGTTTTGTATGTATTTGATGAACATGATTGGTAATGTAACGGTCCCGGAAATTTAAATGAAGATGTATGTATCAAAAATTTTAAAGGCGGAAACGTAATAAAAATTCTGATTAACATCCCTTACACAATAACCAAAAAAGTATTCAACATATGAAAGAATAAACTAATTAAAAGAGATAGTCGAAATAAAAACTATAAATAGAACTATAAAGTATTTAGGCGTCTAACTCGCTGTCTTCCTGCGGAACGGGCTCGGAAACCACGTCTTCCTGCGGAACGGGCTCGGGAACCACGTCTTCCTGATCTGAAATGGTTAAGTAAGGAATGAGCTACACTAGCCCAGTAAAGACATCACACTATCTCACTGCCACAGAAGTAAAGGTTAATAGAAAACAAAAACGACCAATGGAGCATAATTTATAACAAACTAATTTAGTAATAATAAAAATATTTACTGTCCACTTACCTTGGTGAGATTTGTGAAAATAACATATAAAAACAATAGTATTATAACCATAAAAAAATCATATACACTTTGTAACATAGCACATGTCATACTTTTGCACTTCAGTAATAAGACAATAATTTTTCCTCTTTTACCAGCCTACTAGTATTCATGGGGATCTATAGGGGGGTCTCCGCTACACGTGAACTATTAACATTAATAATCTAATTCCAGGGTCGTCCCCGTACCCCGTCCGGTATGGGCGCCCAAATCATGAACCTCAATACCCCGTCCGGTATGAGAGTGAAACGGGCTGTCCCCATACCCCGTCTGGTATGAGCGCCAAAACACATAAGGTCTCCATACCCCGTCCGATATGAGAGACCACGTTCCCGGTAGGGTTCCCTACGGATCCGGTCCGTCCACCATCTCCCAGGATATCTAGTCAGGTTGTCCACATTATCCATTTATCAATTCACATAACATTTTTTTCCATTTTTCTGGGCATCAATTATCTAATCATACACAAACACGTAAACCAATAATGAACACCAAATAAAACAACACAACATCGGGTTCACCACAATTCAAACTATAATAAAAGAAAATATGATTCATGCATAGAGACCATAAAATAAATACATCAAATACCATACTGTATTTAATACTGAAAAATAGATCAAACAACAACTGACCGATAATATATCAGATTCGGACTCTATTGACAACCTCAATCAATTATACATATCTATAAAGTTATAAAATACCGTTTTATTATTTATTAGGCTTTAATGCTGTGATAGGAAATAGGGTGAGAGATCCTTACTTGTTTCGAGATCTGAAATCGGCTCTACAATGCGCTTACGGGCTATCCTTAAATTTTCTGAATTTTTTTTCAGAAAACTGAAACGCACTATCGGAATCTGCACGTATCCCAAAAAATCCCAAATCAGACCTAGGGCCCCTTTTCGGCTAATATCGGAATTCTGGCACAGCAGCGATCTGTCTCGGGTTGGCTGTTTTCGGCCGAATTCGGCTAAACTTGCATTGATTCCTGCGATAAAACAACCCTAGGGCCCTCGGTGGGCCAAGAAATTACAAAAAACTAAGACTTACCGGCGGTAGAGCTCTCGGGTGCGGCGACTTTTTCGGCGCGAGTTGCGGTTTGATGTTTTGCTCCGGTTAACCTATAGAGAAAAGTACGGTAATCACAGTGGTGTAAAATTTGCATCGAACGGGAATCAGAAAGGGTCTCATCGGAGGCAAAAACTGAAGGAAAGCTGCGGCAGCGCCGCTGGAATTCGGCAGTGTTTTCCGGCCGATTAGCCGGTTGTTTGGCTCCAATTTGGCCATAGGCGGATTCAGCATCGAAAAACGAGCCAATTAGAGAAAATTTACCTCATTTGGCGGTCGGAAAACCCTCCGGTGCGGTAGCGGGTGGCGGCGGCCGGCTCCTCCGGAGACTGGTTTTTCTTCTCCGGCAAGGCACTAGCGGCTAGGGTTTGGGGTCGGGTGTGGGTGAGGTTATTTATAACCTTCCCATTTTAATCTCAGCCGTCCATTACGTTTTAATCTGGGCCGTCCGATCGCGATTAAAATAAGAATAAATTTGGGCTGTCCATCACGATGCGATCTGGGCCGTCCATGCGTGATTCAATTTGGGCCGTCCGCATGCGTGATATCTGAGCCGTCCGTGCGCGTGAGATCTGGGCTGTCTGCACGTGTGAGATCTGGACCGTTCGATCGCGTGCACGCGGATCGCTCACATGGCTCCGTCCGCGTGGTCTCCCGCGTTAGCTTCTTTGCCACGAGGTGTGTTCTGGTTGGCCGGGGCTGCTGACTGGGCTGCTGACGTGGCTGCTGATGTGGCACAACTTTCTTAAATTGCGTTTTGATCCCCGGTTTCCGATTTTCTTTTCAAGAACACTTCCAGAATCTAAATTTTCACCCCTTTTTCCAAAAATCAATTTCAATTAAATTCCAAAAATAATTTTACCCTATTTTATCATTATTATTATTTTTATTTTCTTTAAATTAAATTAAAACCTTATACATTAAATATTAAAAAATTAAACTAAAATTCTAATATATATTAAAATAAATAAGAAAAAATAAAAATAATAAATTGGGTGTTACAGGTAATGATATGTATAACAACATGATTGTCACAATATAGTTGAGTCGATAAGGGATGATTAATCGTCAAATCATTTAGTAAAGTATGAGGCCAAACTAGTTTCCGAGCAACAGCACCATGGGGCGATATTAGCTTCAACAAAGGAGTATGAAATAGTGTTTGCTTTTTGGTTTTCTAAGAAATGGGAGAGCTTCCAAGAAAAATCATCTAAAAGGATAACCAATGCAATCTGAATTACAGTAGGCATGAAGATGAAAAATAAAAATTGGAGGAAAGTACCTTGACCAAGAGCATATTTGAGGTGATGCAAGACTCGAGGGGTTGCTACCTTGTGTCCATTTCATGGTATATTCGTGAATTAACAAAAGTTATAAACTAAATAACAAAGTTTTTGATAGTACGCATAAATAACATTTTTATAAGATATTTTGAATGCATAATTGAGCTACTCATTACCTAAACTAGGTGATTCTATTTATTTTAATACAGTTTGAAAGATAAAACTCAAATTCATAAAAGTAGTAGAGAAGAGCAAAGTTTGTGCAGAAACAGTTGTCAGTTCTAGTATAAGTTTCGGGCAAGTCTTATACCTTAGGAGGGCAGTAGATCTTAGTTAGTGCCCAACCAAACCTTGGCCAAGGCTTGCACCTTTGTGGTAGTAGAAAGAACCAATTCATGTACACATAACCCTTAGCCAAAGCTAACACACTAGCAGTGGTAGAAAGTATCATATCGTGGATAGGCAAGTTTTGGGTAAACCTTGAACCCTAGTGGCAGCAGCATATATTGATATCCCAACATATTTTCAAATTTAAAAGATCTCATTTTACCTGGGAGTGCGAAACCAAATCAAGTAGAAAGAAAGATTTTGGAAAGCAGAGAGAAAGCTGAAATCATCAAAGAAAACTCTATCCTCACAAGAGGAAACTCTAATCCTCTCGGCCTTTAAATAAGAAGAAAATAGAGGAAAAAAGCAGCCGCCATAACAAAAAGCAGATTTCATCTTTCTCAATCCTTCTTTTTGTAATCTTTTCAAGTAATCACGAAAGTAATTTATTAAGCTCACCATGAGCAGCAGAACAAGTATTATTTCAAGTTAGAGATTTAGTCGAAATTTCAGTTTGGAATTGTGAGATCTAATTTTTTTTAATTTTTACTCTTGTTTAAACTTCAATATTTATATATTTCTCTACGTATACTACCATTGTTACTTGTTGTGTTTAACAGGCCAGTTAAGCATGCAGTATAGTAGCATACTATCATTTAAAATTCCTAAATCTATAATTGTTTATATTATTTTGATGTTAGTGGTGAATTAGTTTCATACTAAAGAGTACATAATTTTGTTTGAATGATCTATGCGGTTGAGTTCATTGACTAGAATCAGATTTTTATAGATTGTAATGTTGTTAGTAAACTAAATCCTAGGAACGTTTACGGGTTGTTTATTAATAAGAATTAATTAGTAAGGATCTTTTAGTTATAAGAGTAAGGAAGATTAGTTGTTAGAAGCGTTTTCAATAATTAGAATTGGTTTATTGAGGGTTGATGAGAATGATCATTGTATCCATGATCAATGATAGAAATCGAGACTACTTTAGCTGAAATCCATTTATAACTGTTTATAACCTCGTTTACTTATTGAAAATATTTTCTATTTTTTCTGTTTTATGTTTTCTTGATTTACAGTAATCAAGTGCATTGTCTTAAAATAAAAACTTCC